CATCCTTGACGCATTTTTTTTACAGCTTGCCGCATGTTTTCCTCACATGGGAGGTTATTGAGGCTACCATTAGCTGCCTTTTAGCTCAGGCTGACGATGCTGAAAGGCGTGACCTACCTCCTGCTGCACAAGAAAGAATTATCCTAGAGGAGTTTGGACGTTCCATCGAACGAGTCATAGATTCTTCTAGCAAGGTATATACATATATGTACTTTCTTAGAGATGCGTTCCTTCTCTTTATTTGCTCATTCCTACTTCAGGCTCAAGTGCGATCTATAGCAACCGGCGGACTAATAAGTGATATGTCGGCATCTGTTAACGGGACAAACGATATGCCAGTCCCAGGACTACCTGGTTCCGGTTCAACTGGCCATGGAGTTGTGGGCGCGGCCGCTGCTTCTGCTGCAGCAAGGGATCTGATGGTCCATGATGACGATGATTTGGGTGACGAGGGCGATGAGGATGATGAAGGAATGGATGTTGTCGATGATGTACGCGGTCATGGAATGGTTCCGGACAGTCCAGATGGTCTGGATGATGGGGACTTGGACGACGATGTTGTAGAAGAGGCTACCCAGATTATGACGACTACTCGAAGAGGTGGCTCTGGGGTTCGCCACCTTGGTCCTCTGAGTATTGAGCAGGTTTCACCCGCCCAATCCCGTGTAACTGGTCCTAACCGTAATAGAAATACGACTGGTAGTAATCGTTCTCACCAAACCCGACATCCCCGTACACAGGTTGGCCCAAGATCCCCTGCGGATGAGGATGTACAAGATTCTCATGAATATGAGGTAGATTCCCGACCTGTCATTAGTATCTCCCGAAGCGGCCGCCGAAGACACCCACCTGGTCACCTCATAGACGAGATGGATGACTTCGTCGGTTCCCGACACCAGCCCCGACATAGATTTGTATCTTCCCCGAGATCTAATTCTGTCGGCGATCGCTACTCTTCTCATGGTCATCACACTCGACGAACAAACAGTCATCACGATGTCGACTTTTAATTATTTATCTCGGCATATCTGTAAATGACCTTGTAAATCTTCTATTTTGTACAGCCTCGTCTTTGTGAATTATTCGGTTTTATTTCGGTCCAGAAACACTGCAGAAATCACTTTATGTTTTGGCTTATACATTTGTTTCTTTATTGTGTGCATCCTTGCGATGCCACCGCTAATCAAATACAAGCTCGGTATATACCTGTCTTCCTATCCGTATGTATTCTTCTCTCTCGGATTGCATCATTGTATTCAGGATAGTAGATGTCACCTCGCCGTACGGCATCTGCTTTCCACCAACGGTGATCATAAATCTCCTTGATTTGGGGTCTGCGTCGCCTGTGTTGGCGCTTTCATCGTGACACGAACCTAACAGATAAATAATTATATTAACAAGGGACTAAATCATTACTATTACAGAGACTGCTATCTCACTTTCGATTACACCAGGCCCAGACGGAAGCGGAGCTGTCTTAGTCAGAGAATTTGTTGTCAATGTACTACTAGTATTACTTCCAGCGCTTGATTGTGACTGTTTTAGAC